TTTTTTTTTTTTTATATGTATACCAAAGCCCCACTCTTACACATAAACACTATTAAATACAAGTCCATGTTATCACTCAAGAGTTGCCTATTGGTCATGCAAGTACCAAACGGACAGTTTGAGAGGCAAACTCCAGCAATGCCCACCCAGATTCCAAGAACCCATCTTTGTTCAGTCACTAGTAGATATGCCCATACAGTGAAGGTGGGTCCTCCACCTGACTGTCCAGCCAGCCCCAGCCACTTGAGATCACCCTTCCTGATCTTTCGGCTAATAACTGGGCTTCCCAAAAGGCATGCCCTCAGGAGAGATCCGGCTGTTTGGCAACCAACCAGTCTGCTCTCACTGGTAGGCAAATACGGTTTTAAGGACTTTGAACCCTGGGAGATGGAGCTGTGACAAATCAGAGTTCTGGCTGGCTCACCCAGGCAATGCTGTCCTGTGAGGGTTGAATGAGTAGCTGCCATAATCTTCTGGACATCCAGCTTCACTGTGAGCACCTTTAATATTCACTGCAAAGCTAGGATATAGCCCTGAGCCCCAGAGGAGGGCACACCTAATTCTGCAAGGTAGGAGGGGGAGGTCACAGAGGTAATGTCATAAAGGGGATGATAGTTGTCCAAGTTGTCCCCACCCTCAGCCCCTCCTCCCTTTAACATTACCTTGTCCTGTTGCAAAAGACCCCTTTGGCCATACGGAAGAAACTTTTTTGAAGGCTTAGCTCAAAAGCCAACCCTTCTGAAACTTTTCCTGACATCCTCTTCCATAAATAGACTTTCTCTAATAAATATGAAACACTTCAGTGCACCTTTGTACACATCCAGCCCTTTTACTGGCCCCTCAAGTGTTACAGGGATGGAGGGCCAGACAGGGATGTCAACCCTCATGTCTAGCACATTGACGTTATCAAACAGCTTGGTTATTAGGCTGGTGGAAAGGTCAGTTATTGTTTATTCAGTACCTACATGGCAGGTACTGTGTCAGATTTACATTATCTCCACTTTATAGATTAAGAAACTGAGGCACAGAATTTAACTTGCTAAGATTCAGCAGCAAGAATCAGGACTCAAACCTAAGAGTTTTAGTTTTGGTTTTTTTTTTTAACTTCAACATGTCACTGAGGTCGAGTGCTGTCCAGCAGAGCTTTCTGCAGTGATGGAAATGTTCTGTCTACGTGCTGTGTAACATGATAGGCATTAGTAACTTGTAGCTAACGAGCACTGGTGGGACAGAGAAAGTGAATTTTAAACTTTTTTTAACTGTAATAATTAAATTTTTCATTTTTTTTTAGTTTCAAACATACAGCAAAGCTGAAATAATTTGTAATAATTTAAATTTAAATAGCCACATGTGGCTAGTGATTACTGTCTTAGCACAGGTAGAGGCAGAAGTCTTGGATTTGCAGTCCACCCTCTTGCTCACTAGCTGGGAGATTTGGTGCAAGCTGCTGCATCTCAAGGAACATCAGTTTCCTTAGCCATGAAATGGGATCATTTTTTCTCTTAAGTGTCCTAGCCCAAATGAGCTTAATACGTGAAAAGGACCAAACCTCTATATAGGCAGAGAGAGCAATGTCAGAAACAGGGAGTCTCTGGGTTAGGGCCCTTGGCCAGGCTAATGTCAGGGGCCAATCAAGAGACTGCCTCTGGTGGGGACCCCCAAGCCCAAGTGCCAGCCACATGGTCTTGGGGAAGAAAAAGCCCCATCTTCCCTCCCTTCACATATACACACAGAGCACAGACCTCATGCAGCCCCAAAGGGGCAAGAAAAGACTTTAATTAGGGGAGGGAGGATCCACCAGAATAAGAAAAGGTACAGCGAGCGTGGGAGCAGAGAAGCCAGAGCAGACGGAAGGGCCCCAGCCCGGAAGCTCTGGAGGACTCACCTCTCCACCTCTAGCACAGGCACTGCACTGACAGACAAGGCGAAACAGCGGCTCCTCTCAGCTGGGAGGGCACCAAGTGGCCCCTGCAGCCAAAGGTTGCCTAGCTTTCAGGGCCCAACTCCTAGGTGTGGCTGGTGGCCACCAGTTCAGCCCTTGTCCCCAGCCAGTTCTGGGTGGCCATCTTCAGGCAGAGCTCAGGAAGCTGGCAGAGGGTCCCCACTGCTTCTACTGGGCCCAAGGAAATAAGAGGACGAGGGAGAGGAACTGGAGTCTGAAACCTCCCTCCCTCCCCACCTGGGGTGGCTCCAGGGAGGAAAAGTAGTCGCCTTCTGGCTCCAGGCCCGCCCAGACCCACAGCGACCAATAAGGTACAATCACTGGGACCAGTCACAGCCACTGGAGATGGAGGTTGTTTGTTTAAAAAAAAAAAAAAAAGACAAAAAGGTTACAGTCTCCTACAAGCACAGAGTTTAAGTTTCAAGACGTTAAAAAAATCTGTCCCGGCCCAGGGGACTGAACATCAGAAGCCAGCCTGACCAGGCACGTGTGGCCTTGGGGCAGGTCCACTGCTGCTTTGTTGCCCAGCTAGCAAGCACACCACCCCCCTCCCGCATCTAACGCCCACCCCGATTCAGCTCCCCTCCGCTGCTGCCGCCGCTGCTGCCACTCTGGGGAGTAACTCCAGGACGCCTTCGCAGAGACACGGGGAAGGCTGAGGGGGATGGCCACGAGATCCAGCCAGATGGTTTAAAACTGTCAAGAGAACCAAGAGGTGGTGGTGAATGGTGGTTATTACGGTATCCTGGCAGGCCTGCTCTGGGGAAGTGGGCTGACTTGAGAGCTGCCACTATAGTCAGATCTCTGAGGGACAGGGCTGGGCCCCAGGACACCCTGTGAGCACGCTCTAATTCAGCCAGCATGCAGCGGTGACCTGTGAGGCACTGGCCCTAAAACCTAGCACTAGACAAGGCAAAAAAACTAAGCGTGATATGGGCTTGGATGTGGGCTTGCCATGCAGGCTGCCAAAAAGCCCTGCCACAGTGCCTGCTTTGGTGAACTGAGGGCGCCTTCTTTAGAGATGAGGGGCTCACATGCAAATGCTTGGGGACTGAGAGTCAAGGGCAGAGGGACTCAGGTTCTGGTACTTTGTATCAAGCTCTGGGAGGCCCCCACAAGCAAGACAGGCCCGTGAAGTGCTTTCTGCCCTCAAGCATCCCCCATGGTGCCTAGACCAGCCCTGGACATTTTATAAGACAGAGTTTGTGGACCAATGGCGCACAGGCAAAACCCAGCCCAAAGATGAGCACTGTTTGGCCCACACAGTATTTAAAAGAGTATCAATCAGTTGCCAACCTTGAAAACATAGACAACACTGCATACAGATCCAGATTTTGAGATTCTTTTGGTGAAGCCACGGAGGGCTGGAGCTGTGTGGTGGTGATTCTCTTCAGGTGAGGCACGTGCTCACCAGGTCCCCACACAGCCTACCTCACTCGTGTGCATTACCCGCCAGATCCCGACACGCACCTGAGTGTGTCACCCTGGCCAGATGCCCAGGCACTATCTTAGACCTTTGAGTTTGAAAATCTAACTCCAAGTCCTGGTGGCTTCACTTACTGGCTGAGGCACTCTGGGCAGGTGACTTAACTTCCAGAGCCCAGTTTACTCATCTGTGCAATGGGGATAAAACCTGATTCAAAGATTGTTTTAGGGGACCTATGATAAACCATTGTTTAAAATATCTCAGCATCATAGAAGAGAAATATATAAAAATGTTATGTGCTGAGTGTTGACAGGTATTTTCACGTCTGTTTCTTGGTAAAATTAGGACATTAGAGAAAGGTGTACTTCGTACAAATGAATGGAATAAAAAACTGAGAAAAAAGACTGTTTTAGGTATTGAGATGCGAAAATGTGCTTTTTTAAGCTGAAATGCAATTATCATAATTGAACAACTGCTGAGTGAATGAGCCAAATATCACACTGGGACAGGAACTATTTTTCATCAGTGGAATTTAGAGGACTCCCAGTGCCCCAGTCGTTTAACCTTGGTGCTACAGTGCATGGAAAGCTCACTATGACCCAGGTGATATGCTTTATATACATTTCCTCATTTAACTGCTCAACCACACTGCAAGGTACATACTAACAGTCTCATTTCACAGCCGAGGAAACTGAGGCTTAGTTGAGGGTTTTTGTAACATATCCGTGGAGGCAGTGGAGCTGGACACACATATTGGTGGTCTGACTCCACAGTCTGTGTGACCCAAACAAGCGTGCTCCCCTGGGTGCACAGCACAGAGGCTCTGTACACTGGCTGCCCGCAGTATAATTAAAGCCCAGGGGAAGCGGATGTAATTTCCATTTTTAGGAATCTGAGCTCCTTCTGGGCTGGATCTGTCTGCTCTGGTAGGAGTAAACACTAATTCTACCATCTAGGGATCACAGTCAACTCTGAGCGGAACATGTCAACAAACTGAAGATTGTTTGGAAAAAGAAAGGAAAAAAAGAAGGCATGTCCTGAACATCTAAACAAGAACACTGTGTCATCAGTTCATTAATGTAAACAATTCGTCCTCCTCAGAGGGCTGCAGTTCTCTCCACTAGGAAGGCACAAATAGCTGAAGAGGGATCTGGAGGGCTTACGACATGAAAAATGATGGAAAACAGGTTGAAGAATTCATGACTGAGAAACAGACGCTGAAGTAAACTATTCAAGTCAGTTTGGGAAGTGGAATTACATTATGATTAACTGTCCTATATTCCTAGAAAATTCACATGTGGATTTAACTTGCCTCACTCTGGGTTTGAAATAGATACAGGGAAGGACTCCATACTTTTTTCCTTTTTGGGGGAGGGGGTAATTAGGTATGTATGTATGTATATATGTATTTATTCATTTATTTATTTATAATGGGGTACTGGGGATTGAATCCAGGACCTCATGCATGCTAAGCATGCGCTCTACCACTAAACTATACCCTCTCCACATCCATACATTTTGAGATGTAGTAATGGGCGATTAAGTCCCCATAAGCGATTAAGAGAGGCATCTCCCAGATCCCAGGGATGAAAAATGCCCTGCAGCTCTCCTCCTGCCCTAAGGCACCTGGCTGACCCGCTGCCCACCAAAGGTCCTAAAAGCCTCAGGAAATATTCACACACACTGCTTTCCCACCAGATGCTAACTTCTCAGCACAACCTATGGGTCTTTCTACTTCTGAAAGGAAACCAAGAAGGCCCCTCACTTACATTCTTGAGGAACTCCTCGGCCACGATGCGCGCACGGGCGTTGACCGACAACTTCATCTCACTGATCTCCTTGTCAATTTCCTCCATGAAATGGATCACAAAGTCCACCAACTTGTGTTTATACATCTGCTCTGTGTGGAAGTTGGTGATCAAAAAACTGATGTCATAGCCCTAGGGAAGGAAGACAGTGGGGAGAAGGGAGCGAAGAAACAGGGGAGAATCAGCATCCGGGGGGCACTTGGCTGGCCATGTTCTATGTGTTCTCTCAGTCATGTGCTTCCGGCTGCCTGTGACCTCCTCCCAAGCTACATGCCCTGCAGTCAGCAGCCCACCTACTCTGGTGGAGTGTCTATGCTGGATCCAAAGGAACTGACCCAGTTGAGAATTTTGTGTCTATCAGACATCTCTGAAGACTACCTGTGGCACAAACAGTTACATTCAGAATGAGTCAAGGGAGAGTGAAGGGACCTGAAATCTTGTTACAGAAGAATCTCATCAAACAACAGGAACATTTAGTCCAGAGATGCTGTGGGAGAAGGATGGGACTGAGGTCTTTAACCATCAGATGGGCTGTGTGGAAAAGAGCAATTTTTATTTACTGTGGGTGTCCCTGGAGATCAGATCTAGGACCAGGAAAGCTTTTTGCTCAGGATGAGGACAAGCTTGGCTAGCACGTCAGATGTGCCTGATGATGGGGCCTGCTGCTCTGTGTGGTAGTGGCTCAGCCACGGGGGGTTTTAAGTCAATCTGGCAGGGAGTCTGTGGAGAGGACTCAAGCACAAAGTCAGGCAACAACTGACCCAATGTCAACTGTGGCCTTGAGAGACAATGATTCAGTTGGTGGCAGAGCCTGGATTTCTGATTCATTTTGCCCTTTCTGCTGCTAGACTATGGGTTCCGGGAAGGTATCTTCTTTGCCTTTTCCATGGTTGAGGTTGACACAACTGCTCCTAAGTTTATCCCTCTTATTCTCACGCCAGCCGAAATGGAAGCCAACTCTCAGGTCAGGCCATGGGTGCCCTACAGCTGGGGGAGCAGCAGTCCTGGTTCCAGAAACAATCCCAGGCCAGGGATAGT